CAGCCTCCAAGGCCACAGAGAAACCCTGTCTCGAAAAACAAAACAAAACAAACAAAATTGCAGCAATCCTCCTGCCTCAGCCTCTGCAAGGCTAGGAGATTGAGATTACTGTGGAAAGTCAGTGCTTTACAGAGTTTTCTAGAAATTCTTTAGACATGTAAATTAACCTACCCTCCCAGGGTTCCAACAGTCTTGGAGGTGGGGCCAAGAAATAGATTTCAGTAACTCAGGCCAGCCATGATGGTCCTAGAAGTTAACTATGAAGATCTGATTGAAAATGACAGATTTACCTGATGCTGTGAACCCAGGGGCGACTGAGCTTAATACAGACAGAAGTTTCCGGTCTCCGTTGTCTATTTTTAAAAATTTCAAGACAGAGGTGAATCTTCCTTGACGTGTCCTTTCCTTTATCGTAATTTTTTTTCCGCTTAAGTATTCTGTGTGCGCATGTGCAGGGTTGGGGGCCGGGTGGAGATGGAAGTCAGGCTTGAGGGAGTCGTCCGTTCTCTTCGGACCCGTGGGCCTTCAGGACTGAATGCGGTCATCAGGTTCTTACAAAAAAGTTCTTACACACTGAGCCATCACACCGGCCCAGATTTTTGTTTCAAAAATTAGCTATTTTATATGTATGGGTGCATGTCTGCGCACCGCGTGCGTGCCTGGTGCCAGCAGAGTCCAGAGCAGGGTGTTGGATCCCCCTGGAACTGGATGGCAGAGTCGACTTGCCGGCACTGGGATTCGAACCTCCAACTGGCCTTCAACCCGAGGGCAGTCCTGGGCTACCATGGCTAGCTTAAGCTTTTAGATGGGAGAATGAGATAAGAGTTTCTCTGTGTACCACCCCAGGCTGTCCTGAAACTGACTCTGTGGGCCTCAGAGATCCGCCTGCCTCTGCCCCCACCCTCCACCCGGAGTACTGGGATTAAAGGCATACGCCATCACTTCCCAACCAAGCTTTTTTTTTTTTTTTAATGAGATGGGGTCTTGCTTTGGACTTCTGGTCTACTGAACCCACAACAGTGTGCGGTGCCCCCCCCCCAGCTTCCCAAGAGCTGGAGTTACAAGCCGGTGTGAACCATTCTGCCTGGTCAAATTCCTCAATTTTAGTATTCTTGGAAGCTTGATAGATGGGTGATTGACTGATAGATGGCAGCGACAGACAGACAAATGATGCAATAAAAAAGATAAAAGAATCTGTGAGAGGAAGGCAGGCAGGACAAAGGAAAATAAAACAGGGGAAAACAAGCATGAATGTCTTGATTTTTGTTTCTTTAAAATTAGTATTTTTCCTGTCCTTTGATTTTTGCTTTAATACTTTGCTGACTGGTAGGAGATTTTATCATGACCCCCCTGCCCCAAGTGCCCCAAAATACTTTTTTTTTAAGGATGGATGTGGCGGCACACTTAATCCCAACATTCAAGAAACAGACAGGAGAAACTGTGAGTTCCATGCCAGTTAGGTCTACACAGTAAGTTTCCAGACAACCAGGACATAGAGACATAGAGAACCCTATGTGTGCTGTTTTTGTAAGGCAGTCTCGTATAGCCATGGCTGTCTTTGGGAGACCTGCCTGCTCCAGCCTCCCAAATCCTAGATTACAGAAAGATGCCATTACATGCCAGGCCTTAGTCACTATTTTTTTTCTAATAGTGTGTTTGTTTCACTGCTTTGCATGGCTATTTCGTTTGCAGCTTGTCAGAAAAGTTGTTTCTTGGGGCTGTGTCCTGTTTTTGTTTGTTTGTTTGCTGGTTTGGTTTTCTCTGTAGTTCTATAGTTGACTCTGTCCTGGAACTCGCTCTGTAGACTATTATAACACTCTTTCCAGGTCATTGTTTGTTTTTGTTGTTGTTGTTGTTTTGGTTTTTCAAGACAGGGTTTCTCTGTATTGCTTTGGAGCCTGTCCTAGATGGAACTCTCTCTGTAGACCACGCTGGCCTCAAATTCACAGAAATCCTCCTGCCTCTGCCTCCCTAGGGCTGAGATTAAAAGCATGTGCCATTAATGCCTGGCCTCTTTTCTTTTTGTCACCTTGATAGAAAGTCCCACACAGGTTCATCTTGGACTCATTCTGGAACTCAGGTAAGCCTCAATTTAGGATCCTGTCTTGGCCTCCCAAATAGCTGAAACTGTGTGCTTCTTACCTAGGTGCTTCGCTGTTTGAATTTTTCCTCTTTTCTCCATGCATGCATTATTGTGAGGCAAAATATGTTAGTCATTTGGAAATGGCCTCTCAGTCTTTCCAAACAGTAACATTTTGGATCCCTGCCTTTGCTTCCCAAGTAAGTACTGGAATTAAAAGAGTGTGCCACCACTACACTTAGAGATTTAATAGTTCACTTCTTTTTATGATGTATCCATCCGTTTATTAGCTGCTATACTCGAACCTGGTTTTGCTTTTTTCTTTTTGAGACAAGATCTCACTCTATAGCCCAGTCTGACTTCAAATTCAAGGCAATCCTCTTAGGTCATGTCTTGAGTTGTTTTTATCAAAATCTCAGTCATTCAGTTTTACCCATTGGGAGCCAGATGCTGAGGTGAAAGCTCATGGAAGTACCCCCGATAACCTTCCTCCTCAGCAGACATCCCAGAAGCCTCCTTCAAACAGGATGTCCCTCACTTCCTCTCTCTCTCTCTCTCTCTCTCTCTCTCTCTCTCTCTCTCTCTCTCTCTCTCTCTCTCTCTCTCTCTCTCATCTATCTATCTAATCCTCCTGACTCCCTCTCATTCTCTGTTTTTTCTTAATGTTTTTTTTTTTTCTGAGACAGGGTTTCTCTGTGTAGCTTTGAAACCTGCCCTGACACTCACTCTGTAGACTATGCTGGCCTCAAACTCACAGAGATCCACCTGCCTCTTCCTCCCTACCGCTGGGACCACCCGACCCCACCCCCACCCCCTGGCTTTTTCTTAATAACCCCGTGTTTACTTCCTATCAACTGATTGCTTACTTAGTCTCTGGACCTGTGGCTGACTTTATTTAACTCTGTTCATGATACTCAAGCAGAAAGCTCTTAAAGGTGTGTGCAAGGATAGAGCCACACCACAGCTAGAAACAGGTTTTTCCTGATGTAATCTGGGAGTGTGATCAAATGTCCTGTAACAGTTCAGATTTGGGGGATAAAATTGAACCCAGGGCCTCACACATGCTAAGCAAGCACTCTGTGACTGGGCTGCATTCCCATCCCTTGTGTATTCTTAAGTAAAATAAACCTTTTTTTTTTTTTTTTGAAGCTAGGATTGTGCATTCGGCCAAGGCTACTGGGACTGGTTGCTACCAGCACTGCTTGCTTCTGCTTAATGAGTCACAGCCCATTACATTTATTAGCCATCACTGAAAGTGTTTTTGTTTTTGAAAACACTGTATGAACCCAGTTTGTCCCTGAACTAACTCACAGCACTCCTGCCTCAGCCTCCAGAGTAATGGAGATTACAGAATGAGCCGCCATTCCTGAAAAAATCCTTTAGACAACCTCTGCTTTAAGGTCTGTGTAGCTGGCGTGATGTTGCATGCCTTTAAATCCCAGCACACTCAGGATGCAGAACTGCAGGGCAAGACCCTGTCCCCTGTCTCGAAAGAAAGAGAGAGAGAGAGAGAGAGAGAGAGAGAGAGAGAGAGAGAGAGAGAGAGAAAGGAAGGAAGGAAGAAAGAAAAGAAAAGCACAGTATTTAAGAAATTTATGTATGTATTTGTTAGTTGTTTGAGACAGGATTTCATTATGTAGTACTGGCTAGCCTGGAGGCTGCTATGTAGACCAGGCTGCCCCCAAACTCTACTAGATAGCTGCCTGCCTCTGCATCCAGAGTGCTGGCTCCAAAGTGTTCACTGTTTCACCTGACAAGGTTTATTTTACTCTTAGTCATGTGAGTGTGTGGTGGGGTGCAGGTACCTGAACATAACTGTAAGCACCCAAGGAGGCCAGAACTGTTGGATCCCTGGAGCTGGAGTTGCTGTCTTTTGTGTATCCCAGTCCTCTGCAAGTGCAGTACCCGTTCCTAACCTCTGAGTCATCTCTCCTGACCTACAAGGTATTCCTTAAGAACATAAGTACCTGCTGGGCATCGGTGGCGCACGCCTTTAATCCCACCACTTGGGAGGTAGAGGCAGGCAGATCTCTGAGTTTTAGGCCAGCCTAATCTACAGAGTGAGTTCCAGGACAGCCAGGGCAATGCCGAGAAACCCTGTCTCGGAAAACCAGAAAGAGAAAAAAAATATGTGGCGTATTACCAAGATATATACTTAATATGTAGTATATATTAATAGTATACTTAACATTATAAAATAGTATTCTTAAACACTAAAAATTGCACGCTTAAGCATTATTAGAATATTTTGCATCTTAAACATTAATTCAAATAGAAAAGGATAGCCTGGTGTGGCTCATGGCTCCTACCTATAATCCCATCTCCCTGGAGACCAAAGGATAGAGGCTAGCACACTGTGGGTTCTAGATTGTAACAAGTAAACCATCATATTTTGACAGTGTGTGTGTGTGTGTGTGTGTGGTTTTCTATGGTGAGTCCTGGGGTCAGGCAAAGTGGGACAACATTGTTACAAAGTCTAGAGACCCAAATCTCTGGCTAGGTGCACCTGTACAAGCCTGAACACAAATGGCTCCATACCCTTGGTACCCAGGCACCTCTCCTTTCAGAATACTGTAGTACTTTGTTGAGATGTTAAGTTCCTCTCCATCTGTATTCCCATCTTGCCTTCTGGTGACTTAAAAGGAAATGTGCTCTGCTGGTGCTTCCCATTAATCTTCCAGTCCTATTGGTGGATTGTCAGAAGACGTGAGTCTATCTGACCAGGAATACTGCCATGGCTGGATCTCCTTTGCCTGCACTTGACGACTGAAAAGCTAGCAGGATTCTGCTCCGCTGAGGTTGCCAAACCGGCCTGCTTGGGATCACAAAAAGCATCTCCTCGTCTCCTCCCGTTCTTTGGCAGGGAAGAGGTCACCATCAGCAACAAGCAGACCAGTATTCATAAGCGGCACTGACCAGAATGTCCCAAATGCCCAAGCCGGGCTTACTGAACAGCATCGCAGAGGAGGCCCACTGTGGAGCACACCTACAGGCATTGCAGCTCTTCTGTGATGACGACCAAGTCACACTTTGCAGCAAGTGTGTCCAGTCTCCTGAGCACATGCAACATGTGATACTTGGGATACAGGAGGCTGCTGAGTATTATAGGGTAAGGGAAATAAATCCAAAGGAATCTGGCTAACTCCCGTTCGATGATGATCAATCGACTGAACAGACAAGTACTTGTTCTCCACAAACAACCCTTGGAAGTTGATTAAGAAACACCACAGTAGCCAGTCTGTGGTGGCGCACGCCTTTAATCCAGCACTCGGAAGGCAGGTGCAGGCAGATCTCTGTGAGATTGTGGCCAGCCTGCTCTACAGCGCTAGTTCCAGGACAGCCTCCAAAGATAGACACTATCTCAAGAAAACCAAAAACGAATAAACAAACAAAATGAATCCTTGGGTCAGCTGGTTGGCAGTGACACTCGCCTTTAATCCCAGCACCATGAGGCAGAAACAGTCAGGTCTCTGTGACTTCCAGGACACTCAGGATTACACAGAGAAACTTGGGCACACGTTGGGGGGGGGGTCCCTTGTTCTTATGCAAGGAACTTATCTGCAATTCTGTGATCTGTTTCCCTGTAGAAGTTACTCCAGGAAACACTGGTTATTTTGAAGGAGAAGCTGGAAGCAGCTAAAAGCTTACTGGCTGAAGAGCAAGAGAGAATGGTGATGATTCAGGTGAGATGAGGTTTATCCTGCTTCTGGGGAGAGGGAGCCTATCAATAATGATAGAAATTAGGTAATACAGTATCAACAAACTAAAAAAGATGGCGGAAGCTGGACCGTGGTGGCGCACACCTTTAGTCCCAGCACTCGGGAGGCAGAGGCAGGCGGATCTCTGTGAGTTCGAGACCAGCCTGGTCTATAAGAGCTAGTTCCAGGACAGCCTCCAAAACAATACAGAGAAACCCTGCCTTGAAAAACCAATAACACTAATAATAATTAAAAATTAAAATAAAAAGATGACGGAGCAGGAGAAAGTATTTGGAATCCATAAAGGGAAGAAAGCTAATTTCTTTAAGATTTATTTTTTACTAGTTCCAAGACAGCCTCCAAAGCCACAGAGAAAACCTGTCTCGAAAAACCAAAAAAAAAAAGATTTATTTTTTAATAAACTATTTAAGCATTTAAAAACACAGTGAACCATCAAGAAATTATAACTCTTAATTAAACAGTTCTTTACCATATCCTCCTCAAGTGACAATATTAAACGTATAAAATCAAAGTCACAAAATGTTGATGTTTCATATGTGTACTTAATAAAGTAAGGACACAACTAAGTACATAGGAGAAGTCTTGGACAAGCACTTAGGAGACTAGGGTTCAGGTCATGACTCCGCGTGTAGATAGCTCTGTGACCCCTTCTGCACATCAATCAGGCTACCGTACTTTGCCGTTCCTGTTTCCCAGTGAATGTCTGTCAGCCAACTGTTTACAGCACTGAGTAGCACTATCAGTGTTCTGTTCAATGGCATAAAATGCATAATGTATGTTAACTGCCTTAAAGATTTATTTTTATCTTTATGATATTTAAAGTTTTATTTTAAGGTTCATTTACAAATATGTTTGAATCATATAAGTTGGTGTCAAAGGAGGTCAGAAGTGGGCGTTGAATCCCCTAGAGTCAGAGCCAGAGCCATAGGCGGTTGTGGGCCGCCCGGTATGGGTGTTGAGACCTAAACTCTGGTCCTCTAAAAAGAATAGCAAGTTCTCTTAACCACTGAGCCATCTCTCTATCCAGAAGACTAATTTCTTGATTAAAAAAAAAAACTTCAAAGTGAAGGGGGAAAAAAGAGGAGAGAAGAAAGAAATTTAATTTTAAAAATGACCAAAGAAACAGGTTCACAGAAAACAAAGTGTAAATAATCTTTTTTGTGAGTTAGAAATTAATCCTTTTTAGTTTAATTTTTTGCTTGTTTTGTTTTTTAAATATAAATTACACAAACAAAACAAAAAACTAGGGCTGGAGAGATGACTTAGAGGTTAAGAGCACTGGCTACTCTTGCAGAGGTCTTGAGTTCAATTTCCAGCACCCACATGGTGGCTCACAACCATCCGTAATGAGATCCAGTGCCCTCTTATGGCCTGCAGGGATACATGCAGAAGGAATGATGTATACATAATAAATCAATAAATCTTAAAAAAAAAAAACTAATAGTGACACACAGCTGTAGTTCCCAAAGTTGGGAGGGTAAAGCCTAAATTTACATGGTGACTTCCAGGCTAACCTAAGCTGGCTTAGCAAGACCAGTCACAAAGGAAAGCGCTCCAAAAAAGAACCAATAAAAAAACTCACAGCGCACACGCGCACACAGACACACACACACACACACACACACACACACACAAAGCCTTGGGCAAGGGTGATGTGACTCAGTTGGTAAAGTGTTTGCCTATTACGCATAAAGCCCTAGGTTTGGACCCCAGCAAAACCAGGCATGGTGGTGATGTCTGTGATCCAAGTGCTAGAGAGGCGGAGGCAGAAGGGTCAGAAGGACCAAGGTCAATCTCAGTGACCAGCAAGTTTGAGGCCAGACTTCATCTCAAAACCAGAACAAAAATCATAGCGTCTTTGTTAGAACCTTGCTCAGGTAGGAGAACCCTGCTGATCTCTTTAGCCAAGGGTCGTAGCTCGCTTAGCTTGTTTGTTTGTTTGTTTGTTTTGAGACAAACTTTTCAAGGAGTTCACACTGGTCTCAAACACAGCATTCCCCTGCCTCAGCCTCAACTACCCTAAGACTATAGATGGCGCCTAGCCTTGCTTCCTCAGCTTCATAAGTGGGTGAACATGCCTCCATCCACAGAGTTCAGTTTATGGTTTTGATGGTGCGCGGGTTGAATCGTCATGGAATCCCCTTTTGTGGTTGTGGAAGGATGCTCACAGCTGCTGTCGGTTTCTCCTGTTTAACCTGAAATCTGTAACATCTGCGATTGACGAAGGAAGAAGAGCAGAGGTTCAAAGAGATGGTCCGGGCTGAGTACAAGATGAGATTCCGGTTGCTGACTGGCCAGGTGGAGCTGCCCGCTCTCGGACTGCCAGCCTGCACCTTTGAGGAGGACGTGAAAGAAGCTCATGAGAACCAGCTGAGGAAGTTTAGTACTGAGCTCGAGCACAAGTCGCAGGAAATGATCCGGGTAAGAGAATATTCTGGAAGTTTATAGCTAAGCAGTGTGTCCATCCCCAAATAAATTATTCAGTCACAGCTGCATGTGTGCAGAGTGTATGTGTGTTCTCACCTGCAATTCTTTTGTATATCTCTGTCCAAACACCTCTAGAGAAGCAAGGAAGGAAAAATAGACCCGAGCATTATTGTTCATATTCATTATCTCATATTACACTGCTAATATACTTGCATCCGTGGAAAGACACATGGCTAAGATTGTGGTGATATATCATTTATAATCTAATAAAACTTGCCTGGAGATTAGAATGCAAAGTCAGCCACAGCCATAGAGGCCAGGCAGTGGTAGTGTACACTTTTAATCCCAGGACTCAGGAGACAGAGGCAGATGGATCTCTGTGAGTTCAAGGCCACTCTGGGCTACACCAGAGTAAATCAGTCTTAAAAAAGAGAAACAGAGCTCACATAAAGGCGATTTCACTACCTGGGATCCCACACCCTTAATCTCAGCACTAGAGAGGTGTGTTAAGACCTCAGGATCTCTTGTGGCATTCAGTCTGAGGAGTCCTAGAGAGAGTAGTCAGCATTAGCCATGTCGAGGACAGGATCACCCCTTCAGCCTAGGTGGAGATAAGAGCTAGTGACTTTGCTTTTCTGATCTTCAGCTTGAACCCCAATATCTGCCTCTGGGTTTTTTATTATTCCTGTTACATAAGACAGCACTACTAAGAGTTAACCTCAGAAGACAGGTTTCTGGGACTCTCATTTGAGTTCCAGTAGTTACTAACCAGCCTTTAGGCAAACTTGGGCCTGTACAGCTCACTGTCTAACCCAGTTTCTTTGGCTGTAAAATGGAAATGGCAATGACCTCTAATTCATAAAGTTGCTGCAAGTTTTGGCTGACGTAACCCACAGAGAGCCCTTAGACAGTGCCTAGTACATAAAAAGCTATCCTTAAATAGCAGGCACTGTTATTACCATTGTGATCTTTAATGACAACAGGAGATTAAATGTAACCTATAGCCTTCTACGTGAGCCTTGCAGCATGAACTAGGAGGCAGCTGTACAAGGGAATGCTATTTGATATGAGGCAGGGAAAGCAGTACTCTTAAGTATCAGGGAGGAATTCTCCAAGAGAGAAGCAGGTTGCCAGATGAGAAATAAAATCTAATAGTTTTTTTTCCCTAATTAATATAACCATATGCTAATGAGATTAGGTGGAAGCTAATACCTTCATGAGGAAAAAAGAAGAAAACAAGTTATCAATAGCCTAATTATATAAGCATCTCCACTAATTGTTGATTAAAGTATAAATTTTAAATTTTGATTTTGAGTAGCCAGGCATGGTTTTAATCCCAGCACTTGAGAGGCAGAGGCAGGCAGTTAGAGCTCCCTGAGTTTGAGACCAGCCTGTTCTACAGTCAGTTACAGGACAGTCAGGGCTATGCAAAGAGATCCTGTCTTTCTTTCTTTTTTTTTTTTTTTTGGTTTTTCGAGACAGGGTTTCTCTGTGGCTTTGGAGGCTGGCCTCGAACTCACAAAGATCCGCCTGCCTCTGCCTCCCAAGTGCTGGGATTAAAGGTGTGTGCCACCAACGCCCGGCTGAGATCCTGTCTTTCAAAACAAAACTATCTTTGAGACAGTGTCTCATTCTGTAGCCTTAGCTGGCCTGGAACTTGCTTTGACGGGCCTGCCTTAAACTGACGAAAAGACACCTGCCTCTGTCCCTGAGTACTGGAATTAAAGGATACCATGCCCTAACTTACAATTTTAAGCAGTGGTGAGACAATGAACTTCTGAACAAAATGCCACACAGGATAGAATGTGGTATGTTTTTGGGTGCCTTGTTTGTTAATCTGAGTAAACAGATTATACAGACAATGCCTACTTTAATTTTAGCATATTAAACAATGAACAAAATTCCATTTATTTATTTATTTGTAAATGAAATCTCACTCTGTAGTTCAGGCAGGCCTGAACTCAAGATCCTATCTCGCCGGGCATTGGTGGCGCACGCCTTTAATCCCAGCACTCGGGAGGCAGAGGCAGGCGGATCTCTGTGAGTTCGAGGCCAGCCTGATCTACAGAGCAAGTTCCAGGACAGCCTCCAAAGCCACAGAGAAACCCTGTCTCGAAAAACCAAAAAAAAAAAAAAAAAAAAAGATCTTATCTCCGCCTCCCAAGTGTGGGGTTTAGGGGGTGAGCTCTGGGGGGGTCTATTGAAAGGCTCCCTGTTTCACAGAGAGGCATGTCTTTCCTGATTGTGCCGATTCCTCCGAGGAAAAAAGCAGGTTTACAGGCCAAGGTAGAATTAGTACATAAGAAAGGTGCAAATGACAATGGTAATGAGGACATGCATCTGCAGGAACTTAGCAACCTGGGGAGACAAAACATGAACAAACTGAAGACCAGTGAAGTCTGTGCTTCTAAGTTCCTCGGCAGCCTCCAGGAGACCATCGCGGACCTAGAGAAGAAGTGTGGGGAATCTGCCGTAGCATTGCTCCAGGTAAGCCTGGAGAAAACCCTTCCTTGACAGCATTTGAGAACAGAAAAGGGGGGAACAGAACTCATCAGGGGTCACTTCCAGAATGCCAGTGAGCTTCAGCCCGAGGTGAAGGCCAGGCAGCCATGGTCCACCTGTAAAATGAATACTGTTGGTGGAACTGTAAGTCAGTGTAGCCACATGGAGAACAGCATTGAGCTTTCTCAGTCCCGCTTCGGGCATATGTGTGAAGGGAATGAAATTTTGTGCCAAAAAACTTTACAGTGCTAGGAATGAATAAATGTGATGCAAATGCATGCCTCATGTGTGGATCCTTATGTTAAGTGTAAGTCAAGCAGAGAAAGGAAAGTACCGTTAAGATTCCCATTCATATGTAGAACTTAAATTGATGTCATCGAAGTTGACAAAGGATGATTAACTATGACTGGGGGAAAGCTGGAGAGGGAGATAGCAAGAGAGGTTGACTGGGTATTGAAGAGTTGATTGATAGATGACATGAGTAAGCTCTGGTGTTTTACTGTATAAGAATGTGACAAAAGATAATGACAATATACTGTATTTCTTTTTATTAAAAAAATCCTTTGAGGCTAGCGGATCTCTGAGTTCGGGCCAGTCTGGTCTACACAGCCAGTGCCAGGTCAGCAAAAGCTACATAGTGAAACTTTGTCTCAAATTTTTAAAAAAAATGATCATTTGAGAATTCCATATAATGTGTTTTGATCATACTCACCGCCCCCAAACTCTTTGCAGATCCACCCTTCCCACCCAATCTCGCTCCTCTTATTTTTTAAATCCTTCAAGATCAGTTTGTGCTGCCCAAATATGCTTGGATGTGTTGTTCCATTAGAGACCAGTTGCCTTACGGGGGGGGGGCTACACTGCTAAAGAAAACTGTCGCCGCCTGTCCCAGCAGCTAGTGGTTTCCAATAACTTCATGACTAGGGTGAGATTATGTGCCCAGCTCACCTCACCATGCTGGGACTTGGTCTAGCTTGGGCTTGCAAGGTTTTGTGGATGCTGTCACAACTGCGGTGAGTTCATATGCGCAACTGGCCTCCTGTGTCCAGGAGACAATGTTTTCTTGTAGTCATTTCCCCCTCTTTCAAATGACCCTGAGCCTTGCTCTGTGTGTGTGTGTGTGTGTGTGTGTGTGTGTGTGTGTGTGTGTGTGTGTGTGTTAGATGTTCTCTCTAGGTATGCTTCATAATGTTAGAATAGGGAATTTAGATCAATTTTACCATAAGACAAAAGTTTGAGGAGCTAGACATGTTCTGTCTGAAGCATCACACGCCATACATCCACACATCATGATTTCCCATAACATATCCTGGTGTGATATAGAACTGTTTTGTAAAATGATGTATCACCTTAAAAATTTCTCAGAGTAAGTTTAAAAGCCAGACATAGTAACTCATGCATGTAATGCTAATACTTGGGAGGGTGAGGCAGGGTCTCAGCTGGACGGTGGTGTAGAAAAATCCTCTCCAAAGTAATGACCGGTAACCTAAGTGGGTGGGTAGGGGGATTGTGTAATATCTACTCTTGTTTGTTGATATATATTGCATACACTGAAATCCTCATCTTCAGGGGTAAAGGTAGCAGAGATGGAATCTTCAGGAGGTGATTGACCGTGTCAGGTGGTGCTCTCCTCAGTGGATTAGTGATCTTATAAAAAGGTCTAAGATAGCGCCCTCGTTGGCTTTACCATGTGAGGGAATGCTACCTCACTAGGACCAAATCTGTGAATGATCAACCTCCAGAGTGTGTGGTAAGAAATTCCTATTGTAGCAAACTATTCCAGTGAGGGTGTTTTGGTACAGCCTGAAGGGACTTAGTATTTACAATGTTATGTAGCAGCATGCATTGTCTTTTCAAGAAGCTAGCTACTAAAAAACAATGGCAGTTAATGTCTTTTAAATTCTATTAGTATTCCTCTGTCCTTCGGGCACTTAACTGAAAAGCTTGTATGCTCATTCATAGTGTGTGTGTAGCTGTAGACTGAACCCCAATTCATACTATTTAAAACATTAAAAACATTTTTAAATAAATAATAAAAGAACCCACTGTGAAAAGCCTCTGTAGGTAACCCCTGAGGAAATAGTTCAGTTCTAGAGTTTAGCCTATTTCCAGACAACATGAGCAGGTGTGACCCAGTTACGTACCACTCCTGGCTTGGCTCCAACTGCCTTCTTGGCTTAGTGACCCTCCATCTGCTCTTTCCAAGTCTTACTCCCCGAGCAATAGAAAGCAAATACATAGGTACCATTTAAAAGATGAGTGCTCTGAATAAGTCACCAGGATGAGGGACAGGTGATGCTTCTCTGAGGAACAGAGCAAAAATATTTTTTCTGGTGTGTGTGTGTGTGTGTGTTGAAAACGAGAAAGACTCTGCTGCTCGACTGCAGTCATACACATAGTGTTATACTCTTAAGTGTGTTGGGCATGACTTATAAATACTTTGGCTCAAGTATCCAGTACTAATCTTGTCTCTTTCCCCCACCCCCCATAGAATGCAAAGCACTGTTTAAAAAGGTGAGTTTCTGAAAACAAGTCTGATGTCTTGGACATATGAGGGATGAGAATGCTGGGAAGAAATGAGGTTATATGTATGGTAAAAGTTAATGAGGTCAGCTGGGTGGTGGTGCACACCTTTAATCCCAGCACTCGGGGGAGGCAGAGGCAGAGTGGATCTCTGTGAGTTCCAGGCCAACCTGGTCTACAGAGTAAGTTCCAGGAGGGCTCCAAAGCCACAGAAAAACCAAAAGGAAAAGAGGAGGAGGAGGAGGAGGAAGAAGAAGGAGACGAAGAAGAAGAAGAAGAAGTAGTTAATGAGGTCCATTGTTTGAGAGAGGCTGAAACTAACATTGTCCATTTTTTTTAGGAGTGAGTCTCTATTGCTTCAGAGCCCAAAGCCAGCTCACATCACAGACCTGAGTTCATGCCTGTTAATAAAAATGAAGAAGGCACTACTAAGGTTCCAAAGTAAGTGGGTGTATCCATGAATACTGTTATACCCAAGTTATGTTTGCAAATCCTATGGTCATTCCCATCACCAACAATAATCTGCTTATGCATATTTTGTATGTTTTCTATATGCCGTAGGTATTTGTATGGTGCTGGGGGGTGAATGCCAGCATGTGTGTTAACCACAAAGAGATGAATAGCAGGATGCTTTGGAGACTTCCAAATCCACCCCCAATCACACACCTCCAGCAAAGCCACATCTCTTAATCCTTCCCCAAAAGTTCCACTGACTGAGGACCGCATGTTCAAACATATAAGCCTATGGGGACCATTGTCACACCATAGATGTACCATTTGTTAGACTGAAGTTGTCTAACAAAAAGGATCTAGATAATGGATACTACTTAGAAATCCACCTTGCAGAGCTATCAGGTTCAAGTTTCATTTCAAATTCCTATATTCTTTTTTCTTTCTTTTTGGGTTTTCAAGACAGGGTTTCTCAGTGTAGCTATGGAGCCTGTCCTGGAACTCACTCTGTAGACCAGGCTGGCCTTGAACTCACAGAGATCTGCCTGCCTCTGCCTCCAGAGTTCTGGGATTAAAGGGCATGCACCACCACTGCCTAGCCCCATATTATTTCTTACTAACGTTGGCATTTTATATAAGGAGTAGGCCATGACCATTCAGCGGGTATTTAAAGCTGAGGCTAGGATGTATCATGTGTGGGAGAAAATGCAAGTCGTTCAGGGTGCCTTGGAATTTGTATCTGGTGGGGAAAGCAATGTGAGGTACAAGAGAGTAAGTAGAACATTCCTTCGACAATAAGGTATTACCATGCTTTCCTTTGGTCCATGTAGTGCTGAGGGGCTGCCATCAGGAATATGTATCACACTCGGTAGTTATTTAAAATGCCTAGAACGGAAAAGCTCTCCATCCTGTACTATTAGCAAATACTGTTACTTCTGGAAGCATTGTGTTTAGAAAAGGTCTCTAGGGGATATCACTTGGATCTGAAGTGATACCTAGATGTTACTATCTGCCCTCCCCCATGTGGTCCATGTCTCATTTTTCAGGGTTCTCCTAAGTTGCACCTGCCACGTGTCCCTTGTTTGGAAGCTGACACATGTTAGAAACCATGCTCTGGCATAGTCTGCCTTACCCTAAGATTAACTGATGTTCTCTTCTTGCAGGAGATATAACTTTGGACCCAGGCACAGCTCATTCTTCCCTTGTCTTATCTGAGGACCTGAGAAGCATGGGATTTGGAACTATATCACAGAGTGTGCCTGACACCCCAGGGAGATTTGACTTCAGTGCTTCCGTGTTGGGTGCAGAGAGCTTCAGCTCAGGGAGTCATTATTGGGAAGTTGCTGTGGGACAGGCAACACAGTGGCAGTTGGGCATATGTGACTGTACAGAGAGAAAGAACAACATACCCCAGGCTTCCGGAGATGATAAGTTCTTGCTCATGGGGTCCATGATGGGGACTGATTACACCTTCTGGGTCTTTCCCCCCTTAAGAAAAGTCTGTATAAGAACACAAATGTACAAAGTTGGAGTCTTCCTTGACTGTGACTGTGGCCAGGTATCCTTCTACAATGTGACAGAGAAATCCCTTATTTACAGTTTCTGTGACCTTACCTTCCGAGGAGCAGTTAAACCTATATTTTCTCTTTGTATTCCAAATGGAGACATGAGTTCAAACTCTCTGACTGTCTGTCTCCCTCAAATCCATCCCTGAAATGCTGCTGTTGGCTCTTCATCTTTCTGAGTGGGAAGCCCAAGATCATAAGAGGCCAGAAAATAAGACTAAGACTTCACAAAGCATTTGTGTAATTAATCCAATAAAGCTCAAGATTTTTTTTTTGGTAATGTGGCTTTCAACACGTGTTCCGTGGAAGAAGTTATATTTAAGTTGAATAATTGATGGGGTCATCTGATGGTTCAGGGGACCAAGGCACTTGCGGCCAAGATTGACAACCTGAGTTCAATCCCTGGATCCCACAGAATAGAGTGAACGGACTCCCAAAAGTTGTCTTCTGACATTCATGTGCATACTGTGACAGTTGGTTATTGCCCCTGTGCCACTAAATAAACAAGTAAAATGCAATAATAAAAAAAGTGATGAAGGATGGTAGCATTGAATGCATGATTATATATGAATTAGAGAATGAATATAGTCTTGTTTTCACAGAACTAGGATTTGGACTGCAGACACATTTTTAAGAATGCTTGGGGAATGAAGTCTAATCGGGAGGGGGAGCAGGATGGTGTGTGTGTCTCCCAATGTGAATGGGTCCTGTTGTGAATACTGTTACTAAGGTGGAGGTGTCTAGTTACTTACTGACCATGGCCATCGGGACTTAGAACAGTTATTTCCCAAAGAGAGGGGTCTTGTGATTTCCCTAGACATTTTACCTGAGTAGTGAAATGTCAGAGAAAAAAGTGAATATTTAACTGTTTTAATTGCGTGTCTGTGGGAGGATGTGCTGGTGAGTGCCATTGCCTGTGGAGATCAGAGGCATCTCACCGCTTCGTCCTGGAGTTAGAGATGGTTGTCACTCAAGATGTGGTTGCTGGGACTCGGGATCTCTGGTCCTCTGAAAGAGTAGCAAATGCTCTTAACCACTGCACCATCTCTGTAGCCCCTAAGGTAATGTGTTTGTTTCTTTCCTCCCTCCCTTCCTTCCTTCCTTCCTTCCTTCCCTCCTTTTTTCTTACATTGATTTGTTTTGTGTGCCCACTAGGATACATGAGCCGTGTCACTCTAACATGGAGGTCAGGAGAACAACTTGTGTCCTGGGGACAATCAAACTGTCAGGTTTGGTGGCAAGCACTTTTATCATCTACATCACCTTAATGGTCCCCCAAATAAAATTTCTTTTCTATAATTTTAATTTCTAAAATTTTAATTTATGTGTCCCTGGGTGTTTTGCCTACACATGTGTCTGTACACCACTTCTGTCCTTGGTACCCATGGAGGACACAAAAGGGCCTCAGATTCCCTGGAACTGGAGTTATAGATGGTTTTGAGTCACCATGTGGGGTACCAGACATCAGTCAGACCTTAGTCTTCTGGAAGAGCAGTCAGTGCTCTTAACTGCTGAGCTACCCCTCTAGCCCTACCAATATTAAATTTCTTTATTTTATTTTTTTATTATTTTAATTTTAAATAGCTTGTTTTACACGTCAATCCCAGTTTCCGCTCCCTCCCCTCCTCCCACACCTCCCCACCATCCCCCCCCCAGCCTCCCAACCTATCACCATTTCTTTCCACATAGGGGATATCTAGAGTCTGTCATTTCGTGTTTATCCCTGGCACACAAACAGACATCGTGTGTCCATAACACAAAGAGAGATGCTCTCTCAGCCTGGACTCTTAGGGGAGTGCCTGGACCCTGCCCTGAGTAAAATGCCAATATTAAATTTCTTAAACCTAGGAGCTAGGGAGTTGGCTGAGTGAGGAAAGTGCTGTTCCAGTACAAGGGTTAACACCCAGAGGAGGGTATTGCAGCAAACCTGTAGCCCTAGGAGTGAGGAGACAGGCAGATCCTGAGAGCTTGTTAGCCAGCCAGAGGTCCTGTCTCAGATACGGTGGAGATCAATAGCAGAGAACTCAAGCCAACCTTCACGCTACACACATGCGCACACCGTACATCTATTAATGGACCTAAAACATCCAGTGTTTTGAAATACCTTCAGTCCTGGCAGCTTGTGTCTGCTCTTTTCTTTGGTGGCCCACTGGAAAATGCTTTAGCCACCAAGAAAGCCAGCTATATTTGTACAAGAAAAGCTTATTCCTTTATTACTTTTATTATGTTACTATTTGAGAAAAGGTCTCATGTAGTCCCAGGCTAACCTCACATTTTTAAATAGGCAAGGATGACCCTAATCTTTCAGATTTAATAAAGACTTGTAGATAATTTGTTACAGGCTGTGGCAGTTTAAATGTAATTGGCACTATTAGGAGGTGTGGCTTTGTTAGAGAAAGTGTGTCACTGTGGGTGTGGGCTTTAAGGTCTCCTATGCTTAAGGCATTGCTCAGTGTCGCAGTCCACTTCCTGTTGCCTTCTGGTCACGATGTAGCCAGTACCATGTCTGCCTGCACAGCACCATGCTCCCTGCCATGATAATGGACTAGACCTCTGAACTGTAAGCCACCACCTCAATTAAATGTTTTCCTTTATGCCGTGGTCATAGTGTCTCTTCACAGCAAATAACTGCTAAGACATAGGCATCCTGTTACTCTGCTTTGGATGGGGGAAAGTGCATTTATTTCTAATATCCAAAAAACAAAAGCCCTCCCCTTCTAGTCGTTTTATACCCTACAGGACACTCCTTAAAGCCTTCACACACAGGCTGTAATACCTATAAATATCTTCCTGATATCTTCATTTTAGATACAACGAAACTGTCAAACTCCTGTTTTCCCTAACACATAAAGAACTTCATTTCTTAGCTTTGTTCCATCAGGAGGGTATATGTGGTTCTACTACACAGTCCAATTATTAACATTGTTTTACCTTTGAGCAACAAAGTACAAGTTTACCTTCATCCAGACCAGTGGTTCCCAACCCTTTTCACAGGGGTCACTGAAGACCTTTGGAAAACCCAAGTATTTACATTATAGTTCATAACAGCAAAATCCCATTGATGAAGTATCAGAGAAATAGTTTTGTGGTCTGGGTCACCATAACATGGGGAACTATATTAAGGGTCACATCATTAGAAAGGTTGAGAACCTCCGATTTATATAGATTATTTTTCTGTTATAAAAACCTGGTTTTTGTTTGTTTTGTTCTAATTACCTCTAAATTTCTTTAGGCTTTTATGGAATCCTAGCCTAGAAACTAAGGATTGCCAAACTTATTTCTTCAAGAGTCGGTTAAGTACTCTTAATTTTTTCTAAGCACATCATCTCTCTTGGCAGCAACTCTACTGCTGTGGAGCAAAGAAAACCATGGACCCTTCTGAACGGAATATATGTGCATGTTCTCCAATAAAACTTTATTTACAAAAGAGAGGCCAGAGTTTTTTGGTCCCCATTAACTACAATTATCAATTTTCTCTTTTCAACATTTTAACTATCTATCCCTCAGGCAAGACCTAACAAAATTGACTTGAAGACTTGATAAAACATGAATGTGTTTCCCTCAAACAGACTTTCAAACCTGCACCTCCCTCTAGCCACTGTCCTAGTCTCTCTCTCTCTCTCTCTCTCTCTCTCTCTCTCTCTCTCTCTCTCTCTCTCTCTCTCTCTCTCTCTCTCTCTCTCTCTCACACACACACACACACACACACACACCAGAATAATATGCTCTGTGGTAAGTTTGTGCCATACTGCCTAAATTCAGTCCAATGTGTTGTCTGTCTATTTTTTTGTGCCTATAGGTCCCAGTGATAGCTTTCATATTGCTAAATCCTGGGATTTCAATTTTCACATTATTTGAACTTGGTAGTAGTCAAGTAGTCAATACTATTAATCCCTTGCTCTTTAGGAAATTCTCATTTTCCTCCCACTATTGTGGCTGCGGCTTCCTTTCCTCCAGAATGTCAGGCAACCAGTAATTACTTGATGCTCTATCCTATGACCTCACTTACCATGCAATTACTGCTCTACTGGGGATTGAACTCGGGGCCTCAAACTTGTTAGGGAAGCTCTGCCATGGAGTTATGTTCTCAACCCCTTGTAAACTCTTTTGAGACAGGTTTTTCTTGGTATCCCAGGCAGTCTTCGAACCTTAAAGCATATTGCCTCAAATTCCTGGAGTGCTGAGATTATACGCAGGTGCCACCACACCTTCCTTTTCAATGACTTCTTTGTAGCTTTTGGCTTCTTGTCCTTCAATACTAGAGGTTGAACTTATGGACTTAAGAATTCAAGCTGCTCTATCACTGAGCTACAATCCCAGCATCAGCGGCTTCTGATAGTCCTATGAAAGCAACACCCATTGCTCAAGCTCTATCTCACCTGACCCCTGTCTCTGTGCTGTCTACCATCACATTACTCCCAACTTGTCTTAGGAACTTTATTCTCAAATTCAGAAACCAGAACTACAACAAACCTTTCAGCCAGGAATATTTCAATTCTGTAGGCAAATGAATCTCTGTGAGTTCAAGGTCAGCCCGGCCTACAAAGCAAATTCCAGGACAGCCAGGGCCACAGAAGTTCAAGGTCATACCTCAGCTACAGAGTGAGCTCAAGACCTGCCTACACTACAGGAAACAAAAAGGTTACCCCTGAAACACCATCACAACTTGTGACACACAACACAGTTGGAATATTCCCATATTGGAGGCCTCTGATTACTAGACTAAATTCTAGGAAAACACATGGTATTGTTCAGACTTTCACATCCCAGTGTTAAACAGCCCCCTGTGTCCTGAATAACAGTACATATTGAAATAAAGTAAGAAAAGCAGTGAGGGAATAATGTGTATTGAGCAGTGGGGTGAGTGACTAAACAATTGTCTCAAAAGGAGGATGTATCTATGCAAAACCAAGAGTAAGGAGTATTCAAGTTTTGCTGGTTATGGAATTCATTCATAGAACACATGCATAACGTGGATTGGTAAGTAACACCGCAACAGTGGAAGGAAAAAAATAGAAAAGAATATTCAGCTAATATCCATTTAGCTGCCAGGATTACCATAACAGAATTCCACCTGTCTTCTATGATACCATGCCAAGTTTCATGCAGCACTGGGATTATACACCACTGGAAAAATATCTCTGTTGGAAATACTGGGCATGTGATAAATGTATATTGGCTTAACATTTATTAAGCAGAAAATCTAGCCTGATTCTTTCTATGTATTGGTAAGGGGGCTCTATTGATATTATAGAGAAGTCAAGCTTTGAGATTTTTCATAGTTGAACTGGCATGTCTGGGTTAAGAATTAAGGAGAAGGGCTGGGGTGATGGATCAGTAGTTAAAAGCATGTACTTCTCTTGCAGAGGACCCAGGTTCAGTTTGCAGCACCCACATGGTGGTTCACAATCGTCTATAACTGCAACTCCAGGGAACTCAATACTCTCATCCAATCTATGAGAGCACCAGATACACCAGGTACATGTATATACATGCAG